AGGGCAATCACAGTGTGTAGATTCTGTGGATTCAAACCATCAACCTCTAGTAGAAAGATCCAAAATGCTTTCCTTATATATAAATACCATTCTGACGTAGGGCACTGTATGCAGCTTCTTTGGATTCAAGCCATCAACCTCTAGAATTTATAATCCAAAATGCCTGATTGTTTTGTTTTTCAGCTCTTGAAGCAACAATCTTGTGAAATCTTAGTTAAGATAAACTGTAAGTAATTTGTGCAGTCTGTGGGTTCAGGACACTTCAGGTTTTCCATATATTCTATTTCCTTACCCCCACTCCTTACTAGCCAGCTACCAGGACAGTGATGCAAGTATCAGGAATGGTTGGTATTGAGCACAGGGCTGGACATGGTACTTTGTATTTCTTGATATGCTTAAAAATGCCTTTTCTTGGTAAGGATCACTGGGGATATACTTTTACTTTATGACAATTTTTACATCCCAGGTAAAGGGTAGTCAAGCGCAATGTTTTCTCGCAATTTATTCTCGTACTATTTTGATGTAGATGAAATCGTTTTCGTGTCTCATTAATTGGCCTTAAGTACAGGGGAGGCCAGTCTAGATCAGTATAGTGTTTATAGTGCCAGTAGTTTATGTTTTTTTACCATGTCCAGTTACCTTGTGCAACATGGTAAGTAAAACCGAAGACTGTGGCAGCAAGACAGGTGGTCCCAGGACAGGTGAAACAGGTGGTCCCAGGACAGGTGTCTCCGACTACAAGGTGGCTCGATGGAGGGCGGAGGTCATCAACAGTCATCAAGGTCAGGGTTTGAACCTGAACCCCTTGGCTTGTGTGTCTGTGTCATTCATTGAGTAGTTAGATTTAGATATAGGCAGGGCCAAAAAAGGCAATTCCAATTAGATAGACATAGGAGGAAAGTTGGCATCAAACTTTCTTGAAACTTGGATTAAAAGGTTCTAAACTGATTTCAAAAATTCCCCCTGACCCCAAATATTGCCTTAAAAATTTGATACACAAGTTCTAACCAGAAAATTGCACCTCTCTACCAAATATTGCCTTAAACCTGTTTTTTTAAACTTTGGTTAAAAGGTTCTACGCTGAAAAAATTCCCCCCACCCAAAATATTGTCTTAAAATTACTTCTGCTTTTTGAAAATCTTAAGTAGAAAATTTCAACCAGATATTGTCTTAAACCTGTTTCTTGAAACTTTGATGAAATGTTCAAAGCTGATTTTAAAAAAAATTTCCCCAAATCTTGCCTTAAAACACCTGCTCCTTTTAGAGTCCTTTATCATTAATAAATAAGTGTCAACCAAATATTGCCTTAAGCCTGTCTTAAAACTTAAAAAAACTTCCCCACCCCAAATATTGCCTTAAGCCTGTGTCTTAAAACTTAAAAAAACGTCCCCACCCCAAATATTGCCTTAAGCCTGTCTTAAAACTTAAAAAACTTTCCCCACCCCAAATATTGCCTTAAGCCTGTGTCTTAAGACTTTAAAAAAAAATTCCCCACCCCAAATATTGCCTTAAGCCTGTGTCTTAAAACTTAAAAAACTTCCCCACCCCAAATATTGCCTTAACCTTAAGACTCCTTTCCCTGGTAAGTTCCTAGCAAAAATTTGCCCCTCCCATCTAAGCAAACAAGCGTCCCTCCGCCACCAAATATTGCCTGTAAACACATGGTAAAGATAACCCCTTATTACCCATAAACATTGCCTTAAAACAGTAGCCAAAACACGGTAATCCGACGGTCTCACAGTGCCACCTACCGTTATTTATCAGAACTGCAACACGTACTTCCAGGCTCGTACTTCAGTATGTAAGGTAGAAGCGTACAGTGCTTGCCGCTCGTATGCGGCCTTTCTCGCCTTTTTCTTCCCAAAATTAATGGCACATATTGCCATAAGCCTGTTCCTTGAAATTTTGATTTAAAGGTTCTAATCTGATTTAAAAAAACTCCCCCAACCCCAAATATTGCCTTAACCTTAAGACTCCTTTCCCTGATAAGTTCTTAGCAAAAAATTGCCCCTCCCAGCCAAGTATTGCCTTATACGACACTTAGGAAAAGTTATAATCAAATAATTCCCCCATAAACATCAACTTGTATCTTCCATATCTCGACTCTTAAGGGTTCTAAGAAATTGTCCCCTTAAATATCGCCTTAAAACTTTCATATCTCAACTGTGATAACCCTCCTTAAATATTGCCTTAATACTTGCATATCTTGACTATGGTTCTAACTAGAATAGCCAGCTCCCTTATATGGGCTTCAAACCCCTGTTCCTTGCAACCCTTCGTTTAAACGTTCATAGCAGATTAGCAGGCCCCAAAACATTGCGTTAAAGTCTTGAATCCTTAATACTTTTCTTTAAAAAGCTCTAAAATAAGCGTACCTCCGCCAAATATTGCCTGAAAACACCTGAGACTTCCTGATGGTAAAGATAACCCCATACCCATAGACATTGCCTTAACACGGTAATCCGACGGTCTCACAGCGCCACCTACCGTTATTAATCAGAATTGCAACACGTACTTAACTTTCAGGCTCGTACTTCGGTATGTAAGGTAGAAGCGTACAGTGCTTGCCGCTCGTATGCGGCATTTCTCGGCTTTTTCTTCCCAAAATTAATGGCAAATATTTCCTTAGGCCTGTTCCTTGAAACTGTGATTTAAATGTTATAATCTAAAATAAACTTCCCCACCCCAAATATTGCCTTAACCTTAAGACTCCTTTCCCTGATAAGTTCTTAGCAAAAAATTGCCCCTCCCATCCAAGTATTGCTTTAAACCTCCAGTTTATGGAGACACTTAGGAAGAAAACTAGTTAAGAAAGCTAATTGTGGATCTAAATAAACTCAAACTCAAAACTTATAATCAAATAATTCCCCCGTTAACATCACCTTGTATCTTCCATATCTGGACTCTTTAAGGGTTCTAAGAAATTGCCCCCTTAAATATCGCCTTAAAACTTTCATATCTCAACTGGCCTTAAACTCTTTTTTTTTCATTGAAAGGTCTAAGCAAACCAGTGTCCCTCACCCACCAAAACGCTCCCAGTAGGACTGGATGATCTGCAAAAACAAAAAGCTGCTATAAAGAATGTTAATCCATCAAAGTAAACCTCAACAAAACCTGGTTTTAGGTTCAATGTACAGTTTAGCCAACACACGGTTATCCGACGGTCTCACAGCGCCACCTAGCAATATTAGTCAAAACTGCAAGACGTACTTCAATATCATCGTCATATGCAAGGTAGAGATATTAAAGAATACAGTATTCGCCGCTCGTAGGCAGCATTTTTCCCCCCAAATAAACTCCCAACAAGTCTTTGGTTGATATTCAGCAAGAACTTGCCCTTAAGAATCCTTAGTTATCAGCATATTCCTTCTCAAAGCTTGGATATTAGATTCAACCAAGGACATATATACTTCTGTGTCCTAAATTCAACAGTTTAGCCAACTTGCTTTATTTTATTTACTAAAATCCAACGGTCTCACAGCACCACCTAGCGGTATTAATCAGAATTGTAACGCGTACTTTAGTGTACAAGGTAAAAGTGTACAGTGTTTGCCGCTCGTATGCTGCATTTTTCGGCTTATTTCTTCATAAAATAAACGTCTTCCAACATTCCCAGCAAGTCTGTGGTTGATCTGTAGAAAGAAAATGCAGTTACGAATCTCTATTCAATAGAATATGCCTTCTTAAATCCTAGCCGTCACAATTAGCTTCAATAGCCTCCAGTTAAGCCAACAGGTGGTCATCTGACGGTCTCACAGCGCCACCTAGCAATATTAATCAGAAGTAGTACTGCAACACGTACCTCAGATACTACACAATGTACAGTGCTTGTCAGCCGTACGTATCCGGCATTTTCGGCAGTTTTCTTCCCAAAATAAACGGCTTGTGATTATTAAGACACTCCCAGTAAGTATATGGTTGATTTGCAGATGAAACTGCTGTTAAAAGAATATTTATTTATCAGAATATCCCCTCTCAGAGTCCTCCTTTTACAACTAGATTCAACAGTCTCCAGTTCAGCCAACAGGTGGTCATCCGACAGCGCCACCTAGCAATATTAATCAGAACTGCAACACGTACTTAGTATACAAGGTAGAGGTGTACACTACTTGCAGCTTGTATGTGGTAGTTTTCTTCCCCCAAATAAACGGCTTGTTACCGTCAAGACGCTCCCAGTAAGTATGTGGTTGGTCTGCAGAAAGAAACTGTTGTCAAGGATCTCTTTTTTTTATCAGAGTATTACTGTAAAACAGCGACCTCATCCCAGATCCCGCAGCACTAACCTCTAGTGTATGGCTGTTCCCTTAAAAGTACGTTTCGAATACTTGCAGAAATGTTTTAATGTGAAATATCACGTGAGTAAAGAGTTAGTGTCGGGCCAGGTAGGAAATTGGGGCACTCTTCATTGCAGATACATGTTGTATTTGTAGATTGTTTCTCTCCATCCAACTTACATATAACCTCTCATGAGGACAGGAATCAGTACGGTATCTTCGCTAACTGCCATGCATGGACTACCCGGGCCAATAGCCAGGCCACAGCCTCGATGGACGTGAAGTTTTTTTTAGAATAGAACAGGCGAAAATCAATGCGCGCGTGGATGTCATCCATAAAATTAAGTCGGTGTGGCCTTAATAGCTTAGCCCGATAGTCAAACCTGTAAATACTAGTAGCTGACTTTCTGAACGCAACATAGATATAGTACATGTATGTCATGTATTGAATTTTAATTATGGGCTCTTTAATAAATGTTTTGGCCTCACTCTCTATATATACACATTGTGATCAAAACAAATAAAGCATTATTATACCATATATCGTAACATACGTGTATTTGTAATAGTTGGTCATGTTTCTCTAGTGCAATCTACTATAAAGTTCACCTTCGGGTCCTTATAGGGTAAACACTGTTCTGCTACATTAACCCGATAATCAGGAGACACCGTTTGACCTGTGACCTTAGAATGCTTCCGGGTCATCCGACCTTAACTTCCTTTTCCGTCTGCACGACACAACCGCGAATTTCAAGAGCGACTAGACTGCCTGTTGTCTCGTCTACGCTTTCCTACAACTCTCAGGTAAGACGACTTATCGTTAAGTGGGTTGCTTTTGGAGCATAAAAGCTTTGTAAAATTTCTAGAAAAATATAACGTCACTTGTGTTAAACATTATACGTGACAGAATATTCAGATGACGCTGGGGAGGGCTGTTAACTTGTAACAAGGACATTCTACAGAAGTCCTTGCTTGTGTAACGATAAACTTTAAATGTTTATGACGAAATATCGTCTATGGCTGTTGACGAAAGTACACCAGAGCTCGGAGGAGGAATTTTGACAAATATTGGCGTGTAATTTTGCTGTTTTTCGCACCGTCGAAAATGGCGGGAAATTTGTCACATGGAGGAATGTTCTCTGTAGGCTCTTTAGGGGTTTACGAAGAAACTTTATGAAAGAAGACTAAGTTTAGGAGTTGTAACAGCTATGTATTCTAAAACAAGTTAAAATAAAATGCATTTCCAGTTTCAGAGTAATTTTTAGTGCTCATCTGTATTGCATAAAGGTATGCAGGACGCAGACAATTCATGTAAGGTATACTCCAAACCCCTCTTGCCGCCCCCGAGCCAAAATACTGTAGTTTCCGCCATTTTGTACCGGTAGCACATTTATTATATACGTTATTATTGAAAATCCTTTTCCGGAAATTTTGTGGCAATTTTATGGTAATGTTTCTGGAACTCGTTCCTACATGCAAGTTATTCGGATTAAAATTCAAAATTACAGGTATGAAAATGCCACCAACTTACAATAGGGGCTCAATGTAAAAAAAAATGTGATTCTGCCGTCTTTTGGGTTTTAATGATGCTTCATTTTGTCTGCAGATTCTTCGCAACATGGAGAAACCCTACAGGTGTGAGGAGTGCAGCAAGCAGTTCAGTCAGCTGGGTAATCTGAGATCTCACATGAAAACTCACACTGGTGAGAAACCCTACAGATGTGAGGAGTGCAGCAGGCAGTTCAGTCGGCTGGGTAATCTGAAGTCTCACATTAAAACTCACACTGGTGAGAAACCCTACAGATGTGAGGAGTGCAGCAAGCAGTTCAGTCACCTGGGTGATTTAAAGGACCACATCCGAACTCACACTGGTGAGAAACCCTACAGATGTGAGGAGTGCAGCAGGCAGTTCAGTCGGCTGGGTCATCTGAAGAGACACATGAAAAACTCACACTGGTGAGAAGCCCTACAGATGTGAGGAGTGCAGCAAGCAGTTCAGTCAGCTGGGTCATCTGAAGTCTCACATGAAAACTCACACTGGTGAGAAGCCCTACAGATGTGAGGAGTGCAGCAAGCAGTTCAGTCAGCTGGGTGATCTGAAGAAACACATGAAAACTCACACCGGTGAGAAACCCTACAGATGTGAGGAGTGCAGCAAGCAGTTTAGTCAGCTGGGTCATCTGAAGTCTCACATGAAAACTCACA